TAGTTATCATGTACATATAAATAAGATAGAAAGTATTCAAAATAAATTTCTAAGATACTGCGCCTACAAGGCATCTATACCTTTAGATGATTTGGTTAATTACGACATCAATTAGAAATTCAAACGCTTGAACATAGAAGATTGGAAAGTGAAATGATATTTTTATTTAAATTAATTAACTATCATATAAATTGCCCTTATTTGCTCAGTAAATTGAATTTCCATGTTCCTAAGGGAACGGTCAGAAGTCAATCTATATTTTACTTGGCAACTCATAACACCAATTACAGTCACTTTATGATTATCGACAGAGTATGCAGGACTGCTAACAATTTAGATTTGTCATTTTTTAATATTTCTTTGGCAGCATTTAAGTCCGAACTAAAGCTGAAGGTACCCATGTAATTTATTTATTGATTATTTATCTGTTATTGTTATATGTTAATTTTTATAGTATTTTAATATTTTTATACGCATTGTATAATTCGCCATGGATTTTATCCGTTTAATAAATTTGAATTTGAATTTGAAAAAAATATAACATGAGATTGGCGCAGAGAAAAATGTCCATCTAATCAGTTGTTTTGTCCTAGTTCTTCGAGAGGAATTCAAGACGGTGCCTACGGACACAAAGGTGGCAGCAGGAGAAACAGCGCTCCTGTTGTGTGGTCCACCCAGAGGATACCCAGAGCCTACCTTGGTATGGAAGAAGGACGGGATGCCGCTGGACATTGATGGAAGAAGGATCCGCACAGTGGATGGCGGCAATTTGATGATCGTGGATGTGAGGCAACACGACGAAGGAAAGTACCAATGCATCGCACACAACGTGGTGGGGTCGAGAGAATCGCCCGAAGCCACCCTCAGAGTTTACGGTAGGAACCAAAAAGTGAAACGAAAATGGGGCAGTTTAGTCGTAAAATCAGCTATTTTGAGCCGCGCGCTCGTTTCACAAATATATCGCGGGTAATGTAATGCACATGAGTTGCGCCAAACAAACACGTGGATGTCATCAGAAGAGGCAGCAGGAGCAACAAGATACTAATAGGCAGTTAGTTTTATTAAAAGTGTGAATGTAAATGGGCAGAGTGCTTTTATAGCAGGAGCATTCTAAAAATATGGCCAGGTTGAATGCAACAGCAATTCAATTTTTGCACTGCTTCTTGCCGATGCGGATAGTGTGTCCTTTTAATTCGATATTCTTAAGCACTTGCGAAGTTTTATTCACGTTGTTTGGAAACAAAATGGATTTTGGGAAAAGTCGGTTAATAAATAGCATAATATCTGTATCCATCCGGAAAGTTTTTGCACACATTCTCATTTGTCTGCAAGTCTTATTACTTATTTTCTTTAGATTGATTACGCAAAGCTGACCCAGTGCCAACAAATAAAGAGAAAAACGTAGCAGAAGCCGATAAATCCTCAAGGAAAGTGGAAGATATTTGTTACTTCTTCCATATCCGTCGATAAAGCACGTTTAATAACACTTGACAACTAGAAAATAAGTCATAAATCCTCGACATGAGAAGCCGGAGTGCGGCTCCGTTGTATCGGAAGATAAATGCGACTTGTGCTAAGGCAATTTTTCAAAACTTTACTACTGCATCTGTAATATAGGAATAACTTTATTGGGCGCATCACTTCAACCCGAAAGGAAAGAAATGCGAAAAGTTTTATGCCGATATTTTGTCAGCATATTACAAAGTTTCTTTGGCAAACTTTCAGTACATCGAGTACGATCCATCAAAAAGGAGGAAATTTTTTGATGCGTAACTTGTCTGGTCGAGGGACTTTGGAAATCGGCTAAACTTGGAGTGGAAACTTAACTGGGGATTGTTTAGCTTGTAATTATCACTTTTAATCGCCAATCGTTTGCATCACCACAAATGCATTGAACTAAATTTATTCGCAGATAAGCCAGTCAAATAGTTGTGACTTCTCAGGTTAGTAGTAAAAAGGATTTTTCCATTGTTAATTTCCGTATCGAATTACCGAACTGAAAAGTTGCCCCGTTCTGTGATTCCACATAGAATGGAACCCGGAACAGACGCAGACAAACTTTGGAAAAATAGCTACGAGGGACCCCCTATCATCTATGCTCGTCTGTGTCTAGGCAGGGGCGGATCCAGCTTTAAATTCAGGGGGGTTATGTAGAAAAAATACAGTCTTCTGTTATCTATGAAATTAGAAAAATGATCGTCGATTTGTGCAAGGGTGGCGCAAGATTATTGCAAAATTTCATGTTTTCCGTCCCGTTTTGCATGTTTCTCGGTAGCAAAATGAGCAAGAACGCTCGTTTTTACATCATTCCAGAGATAACTAAA